TCCTCATCAACCCCGCTGACCGAGCCTACTCTTGGTATCAGGTAACTGCACAGGCGAACATTCACACATTGGCTGCCTTTTGAATTGGGGAGAAGCAGTTTCATGCTCCTAATTCACTTTTTCACCCTTGCAGCACCAACGTGCTCACAGTGACCCTGTGGCACTTAACTACACCTTTTACCAGACCATTTCTGCTGGACCCCAGGCCCCTCAAGAGCTGCACAATCTACAGAGTCGCTGCCTGAATCCTGGATTATATTCGACGCACCTGGAGAGATGGTTGACGTATTTTCCATCAGGACAGGTACAGCATTTTTTTTTTCAAGATCTAGCTCAGTGATGGCGAACCTTTTAGAGACCGAGTGCCCCAAAACTGGCCCTGCCCCCGATTCACCCCTGTCCCACCTCCACCCCGCCTGCCCGCAGGGCCACTCACCGTCTCCAGGGCCTGCCGCAGATCGCCCAGGCAGCCCAGCAGCATCATGGCGGCCCCACCCTCTGCCCGTGCCCCGCATCAACTGTGCGGGATGGGGTGTGAGGGCAGAGTCTTATCTATATTGCCTGGTTGCCATGGCTGCGCTGCTCCGTGTGGGTCACGCTTGGGGGCGACTCTCCTCCAGGGGGGCTGCTGATGAGGAAGGGGTTGTGGGGGGAGGCGAGACTGGGCCAAGGGCACGTGTGCCCACAGAGAGGGCTCCGAGTGCCGCCTCTGGCACCTGTGCCGTAGGTTCGCCACCACTGATCTAGCTTATGTTTCCAGGCAATTTAAGCGAACTCTAAAACTGATACTGAGCAATTTCTGTTGGAAAAAGCTTGTGAAGGCCAACAATAAGGGATTGATTCCTGAAGGGAATCAATTGAGCTGGCTCTCTTCCAGTTAATGAGACTACAGCCAGTGGGGCACTTGAGGGACCCTTCCCTATGCAGAAATACAGACCTATACAGTAGTGGCCAAAATTGTGGAAACCTTTTGGGAAAAGTGTACAGTAGAAATGCCACCTTTGGTTAAGTTTCCACCCATTTTTCTTCTAATTTCTTTATAACTGTAGCCTTGTTCACTTAATAATACTATTTTACATCGCTTTCTGGGCAGCCAGTCAACTCTTTGCACAATGATTTTAATTTTATTACGTTTTACAAGCTCACTCAATGAAAGAACACAAAAAAACCCCAACCAACTTGATAGCGATCACATAACACACTGACAAATGTCCTCCTCTCAGCTTCAATACAGGACATCAATCACTGAATCCTACTGTGATCTGATTGGCTCATTGCCAAAACAAGAGGCTCTCTAAACACTCATGCTCATTGGCTACAGTCAGATGAAGGAAAGCTCCCTGAGATCAACCTAAGCAAGTTGTGCTTCCTTTTTCTGGTCATTTGGCTATCACTTTTCGTAGAATACAGTACAGATAATTGAACAAACTTTGTTGCATTACATTCTTGATTAAATTATCTTTCCATTGATATATAATTTTATGGTACTCCTCCCCCCAAAAAAAGTGGTGTTATTAGCCATCAGACCTCAAAAATACACTTTTCCCAAAAGATTTCCACAATTTTGGCCACTACTGTATGTTCTCATCCTGATACAGGTTTGTGAAAGGGATTCATGCCTCAATCAAGAGACTTTCTCAGACTTCCAGAAATGTCTTCCTGTCACTCCTCATGAAGGGGTGGGAGGGGCTGTGAAATCATTGCAGCAGTTCCAATGCAGGGCAGCCCGAAAATATCAGTAGTTGAAGCAGTTCAGTAAAAAGCCAAAATACTTTCAAGCTAGCATGCAAAGTTGTCCAACAGGTATCACTGTTACTGTTAAAGGAACTTTTACCGAGCCTACATCTTCACATCCTTTTTCAATAAACACAGCAAATGTTGGCTCAATGGGCTCAACAAAGCCACAAGGCTGGACCCTGCTTGGGCGGTTGTTTGTCAAATCGAAATCTCCTTATCTACAGATAGGACTTGGGTAAAGAACATTGAAGGTCGCAGTCTGGCAGGATTACAAATTGTACGCAAAGTTTCTTTCATGGATGCAAAAGGTTGGTTAGATTTACCATGAACTTTGGCCATTTCTCCTTCCGTTTAGATTCTGATCGTTGATGGGCAGGAGCTCCGACACAATCCTTTTTCCATCATGGACAACATTCAACGGTTTCTGGGAATTACACCACTGCTGAACTACACACAAGCACTAAAGTAAGGATTCTCCATTTGCACGAAGGCACTTTCACCTCGAAACCTTTGCAAAGACGTATACATTTGTGCAGGGCTTTTTTTCTCGGAGAAAAGGTGGCGGAACTCAAACCTGGCCACGCCCTCATCAAACCCTAGGACCGCCCCTTTAGAGAACAGGAATGCAAGTAAAATTTGGGAGGGGCTATTTCCGGTGTGGGAGGGGCTATTTCCGGTGCGGCCGGCCCGGAAAAAGGTGCCGGAACGCGGTTCCGCCGCGTTC